CGTAGCCATGGATGTGTGTGTCCATGTGTGTGCATTGATGTAGATAAACAGATACACATACACACGTGAGCATATTCGTTGCTTAGTTCCAACGTCGCCGGGGTATAAAGCAGTAGGACACATCCCACTCCTTCACCTCTGTGGCATGAATGGCATCGAGGAGTGAAAGTTCTACCCTTTAAACCTTTTAATAGGCACAAAACAAACATATACTCGTATATATATATATATATATATATATGTATCCTATGCACACCTATACCATATACACCCACCCACCTTTGAACGCACACATGTCATGCAACGTCTCCCAGTCCACCGTATCCGGGGTCAGCTTTATACTATGCAGCCGGGGCAGACAGTTGATAATAGCCTTGACCCTCCTACCACCCCGGATAGGCTTAATAACCCAATCTAAAGGCAAGCGGGATATGACATCACGGATCTTATGACATGTCGCAGCAAACTGCAGCAGCGACCACTGGGGCAGACGCACGGCTATCCGGGCGATAGCGCCATCGGGAAGTGAAGAGATGTCGTTGGCGTGAGGGGTGGTGGGTTCTTTCGGGTCCTGCGATGTAGGGATGTGAGCGGATTTGGGAAGGTGAGTATATATATATATATGTGTGTATTATCGGTTGAGGGTATAGGTGTGTATGTGTATTCAAGCGTGGATAAGCGTACGTGTGTGGACCACGTGTATGCCAGAGAGTCCGTCTAGGCTGGTGATACGATACACAGTTATGCGTACTACGGTGGCTGAGAAACGTGCCGATATGGCGGTGGTGTGAGAGCGAAGCGACAGAATCTATACGATGGTCCTTGTATATGTATGTACACGCATGTATGTACACGCATGTATGAGGCAGATTTGTGTAAGTAGGCGTAGATACGTGTCTGATGAGTACACGGCTACTTGTGTATGGAGTGGTGCGTGCGTGAAAGATCATTGAGGCAGACGCACGGCATTTTATGTAATGGGAGAACCCATTGTCACACACTCGAGCATTGTAACTTGATAGGCTGACGCTATTTTCTCACATAAGTGCATATATGGGCCTTATTATCTCATACATGGGCTTTATTTTCTCACACATGGGCCTTATTTTCTCATATATAGTCACCCATTCATTTCTTATACATAGGTTATCCGGTGGTCGGTTTGTGTGTATATCCTGCGCGTGTGGCTGCGGACTGGTTCTCTAAGGACTGCCAAAACCCAATCACAACATACACACTAATCAAACAATAAAGTACTACACACACCCACATATGATATTCATTTGCGTATATTCCTCCAGTATAACCGGATGTTCATATACGTATATAGTTACAAAGACGAATGTGTACGTATACGTGCACGTGTACATGATATAGACACATACGTTATCTGGTGGTGAGGTCACCTACTGGCTATCACCAGAATGCCACATCATCACAAATTTCATACACACGTCTTATTCTCTCATACACGGACAGTATTTTTTCATACATTGGCGTTATTTCTACACACACGGGCAGTATTTTCTCATACGTTGGCGTTATTTCTGCATACACGGCCGTATTTTCCAATATAGGACACGATATCCTCATACATGCGTTAGCCGGCCGTGAGGTTTGAGAGTGTACTACCTGTGCTGGTGACTGTGTTCGTGTCATTTTACGAACATTATACAAAAGGTCTGAATCTCTCACACATCAATAGTAAAACGTCACATAGGCATTGTTTTCTCATACATACTTTATCGGTCGGTTCGTTTTACGAATATAATACAAAAGATCTTAATCTCACATCAACAGTAAAACGTCACACATAGGCATTGTTTTCTCATACATACATTATCGGTCAGTGAGGTTTGCGTGTGTGTGCCCTGTACGGGTGACTGTGTTCGTGTTGTTCGATTACTTCCTGTGCGAGCCACTGGAACGGCAAAGTCACCTGAGGGATTTGATAATGATACAAGAGAAACACATGAGTGAATGTACACATATGAACTACATAGATATTATATACATATGATTTGTGTAAGAGGTTAAATCCCTGACTGGATGGAGATGAAGGTGTACCTTCCAGAAGTGGAAGGCAGTATATATATATATATGTGTGTGTGTGTTAAGTGTGTATGTATATGTATATATCTATCTCAATATATCTATCTGACTATCTATCTATCTAGCTATATATATATAAATATATACATGTACATGTACATATACATATGCATATACATT